GTCTCTGTCTTGCACTGCCCTGTATGCATTTTGCTGTCACAAGTGCACTCCATAGGTCAGGCGCTGGTGGCTCACGCCCGTAATCCTAGCTACTCAGAAGGCAGAGATCAGGAGGATCATGGTTCAAAGCCAGCCCCAGCAAACAGTGGGTGAGAGATCCTATCTTGAGAAAACCCATCACAAAAAAGGGTTGATGGAGTGGCTCAAGTACTGGAGTTCAAACTCCAGTACCAAAAAAACCCCCCCAAAAACAAGTCACTCCATGAGGTGCTTCAAGGGGCTGCCTGATCTTGACTTGAGCTTCCCAAATTCCATCTCCATGTTGAATAGACCTCCCTCTGTATAATGTTAGTTTTCTCAGTTATTTCAGGCAATAATCAGAGCCATCTCATCCATTCTGGTAAAACTGTTTATGTTCTAGATAAAGGATCCCAATGACATAATAAGCAGACCCTCTATTGAACATAAATACTTCACATTAGGAGAGCAGAAGTGCTGGCAGAGTGGCTCAAGCTGTAAGAGTGCCTACCTAACAAGCATGAGGCCCTGAGTTCAAACCTTAGTACTGCCAAAAAAAAAAAAGAAAGGAGAGAAAAGTAATTATGATGAGAGTGTGGTATGAACCATGGAGTGTGCTTTACACACTTCTGGGTTCTGAGAGCAGTTGGGGCATTTCTTTCCAGAAAGTCACCCAGCAGGAAGGATACAAATCATTAGTCTATGTAAAATTGCCTAGAATGGGTCCACCTTGGAAAGATTACATGAAGTCATGGTCAATGCTTTGAGATGTTGAGAAGAGCAAATGTTGAAGACTGAATGTATCCAAAATGACAAAGGAAAATGTCTACACAGAGATGCATGGTGTCTCAATCCCTAATCTACTGTGTTTATAGTGCATTGAAACATGAGAACTCTGAACCAAGTGGAATTAATGCTTTCAAGATAAATGGAGACATATATATATATATATATATATATATATATATATATACTTTGCTAAGTGTTTTTCACTCACTGGTGCATGAATAAATGCATTAAAATTCAACAGAAATTATACAAACCTTTCTTTGTATCTGTGTTAGCTCAGAATATGTACAAATAAGATTGTGTTGTACAATGTATAGAACTGAAAGATGAATTTAATTGGATTAAAGGGTAGCAAACTCATTTCAGGACTTTATTCATATATCTCTCTAAATATTTAATACTGAAATGATGTCATACCTGTTTGAATTTCCCTGGCCAGTCTATCCTCTCTTCATTGGTGACCAAACCTTGATCATGTAGACTCTTGGAGACAAGCTCTCCTACTTCAAGCAGCAGTAAAGAATAGAAGAAAATTCCACTATGTTCTCTAGAGCATTCTTGCCATATGCTTCCTTTCCTCGTTGAATTACATATGATCTCCAGCACTTGTCAGCACTGGATTCTCCTCAGGAATGGGTGAACTGGAAGAGAGGCACCATTTGGGAACGAGGAGTTCACAGAACTGATACATGGATGGACGGTCAGAAGGTTCATATGGGCTCATACCCTGCTTTTCTTTCTGTACCCTCAGGTTTTCTTTTTGGTAGAGGCTTAGTTTTGGCTGCATAATCTCTGTGTCATGGGCTGAAGTGAGATTATGTCACCTCCTCATGAAATTAGGCAAGACTAGTGGAATCCATTGTAAAAGCTGGTTATGGGGCTGGTGGCATGGCTCAAGTGGTAGAGTGCCTGCCTAGCAAGCACGAGGCCCTGAGTTCAAACCCCAGTACCACCAAAAAAAAGTTGGTTAAGGACTGGGTGTGTTGTTCAGTGGTAGAGCACTTCCCTAGCAGGCCCTAACCCCTGGGTTTCATCCCCAGTGCCACCAAAAAAAGTCCCCCATAAAAAACCTGGACGTTACCTGAGAGTGGCTTAAAATAGCTTTTGATGTAAAATTGACTAAGTCTGATTGGGACTCCTACAAGGTAAAACTTGTACTTTAAAAATGCTGTGTCACGGATGCCATGTGAGGTGAGCTTAAGTCCAAAGTCAAGAAAACACATTCAATACACAGAAAATTTCGTTCATAGTTTTATACCTCCATAAGTCTGCAAAAGGCCAGATATGCTTGTTTCATCCTGTTTGGGCTTATGTGTGTGTATATCTGTGCACATATGCGTGCGTGTGCATGTGTGTGTGTGTGTGTGTGAATATGTGTTTGTCTTAGCACTTGTTGGGAGTGCTCTGTGAGACAATATCAAAATCTAAACATGCCACATCCGAATGCTATCCCTTGAACCTCTGGAACTAATGATGCTCTAACATGGAAACTACCTACCTTCTTGTTTAAACAAATTCAAAATCACATGGAGTCAGATAGTACCACCCCCTGTTAAACTCTCAATAGTAAATGGGAGGATACATTGAGAAGCCTTTGGAATTAATAATGAAAGATAGGACTTAAAATAGGTATTGTGGGGCGGGGTACTTGTGGGAGGAGGAGAAGGTGAACAAAGGAGGTGAATGTGAGGGAATATAGTTTATGGACTTCATATATATATACAAAATAGAACAATGAAACCTCCTGTAATTGCTTGAAGTGAGCGGGATGGGGTCCAGAGGGAGAGATGGTGGGGAACTAACCAATATACAGTGTAAGCTTGTTCAAAATTGTCACAAGGAACTCCCCCTGTACAACAAATATATCTTAATAAAACTTGAAAAAACAATAAACAGATGAATAAATGCAAGAGCTGATAGCATAGCTAGGGATCATCTGGTATTTCCTCTGAGGAGGGTGGCTGGTCAGCTGAAACTTTACTCTAGTAGGAATGGCAGTAATTATTGTTGTTTATGTAAAGTGTGCTTGGGTTTCTAAGTCCATACCTACTCTAAATACATGGTGAACTCATACAGTTCATCATAGAAATGCAATTCATATTATAGAACATACTATACCTGTATAACCAAATGCTTCTTTTTTTCCTGAAATAATATGTTATGGTATGAGAGATAATACCAAAATTGGGTGAAATTAAAATACAAACTTCTGTGTGATGGAAGAGGCAGAAAAGATGCTGATATAAGATAGCTCCTCCTAAGCCGGGCACTGGTGGCACATGCCTCCTAGCTACCTGGTTGCTGAGCCCAGGAGGATCATAGTTCAAGGCCAGCTGGGACAAATAATTCTTGAGACACCCCCATCTCCAAAATAACGGGACCAAAATGGGCTGGAGATGGGCACAAGTGGTAGAGCACCTGCTTTGCAAGCATTGAGCCTTGAATTCAAACCCTAGTCTCAGAAAAAAATAAAAAAAAAATAGTTTCTTCCTCTAGTGGGATCAGAAAAGGGTATGTTTAGATGATGGTCTGTTAAATATATATTAATACCTGCTGCTGTCACTGGGAGTGAAAGAAGAGCAATACAATGCAGTAAGGACCCATGGAAACAAATAGTGGTACCTGATGTTAGGATATAGCAGAAGGTTTGATAATAATGATGAAGGTAACACCTCCCGGAATTAATGATAACCTACTAAAAGAAGGGAAAAGTGGTTAGATCAACACATGTCCCAGCATGAGTTAGGGTTCTGGCCAATGTTAGATAGATAATTCATCTGGTGCCATCTCCTGCTGCTCATGTAGAGAAATCTAAGAGCAGTAAAAATGATGGGTTAAGAGTCAAAAACTCAGAACTCTCATTCAAGGAATGCTGTACAAGGGGATGTGATTATTCACAAGACAATTGCCAAAGCCACCAACTGGGCAAAAGTATGAAAAAAAATTACAAATGCACGGGCAGTCAAACCAGCATCACAGACGGCCACCTCCAACACAGCTCCTAGTTGACTTAATTAGGCTCAAATGAGGAGGCGCAAGGCCCCTAGGTCGTTCCCACTGTAGATAGCAGCTTAAGTTCCCAATCATATTCCATACAAGGTTCCTATAGCTGCATGACTTGCTGAGAGCAATCAGTGGCTAGTAAACACACACATGGAAAATGGCCTAGTAAGCATTGTGTGCAAATGTAAAGACAGAGCTAGAATCCACTTGTACTGAGTTCACAGGTGGAATTGCAAGTTGGAAGAGCAGCTCTAATTCTGCCGGGGCTTCTCCTGCCCCTTTCCCCTTGATGGCAGGAGAAGGAGATTGAGGCAAGTTGATCAGGGTGGTTAGCAGTTAACTAAAATTTCCTGGTTGAGGGCATCGTTTTAGCAAGAATTCAGCTGAATGAAATTGTTTGGCATGTGTTCATTAGCTGTAACACAAAGTCTTGCAGTCCTTATTCAGGAATTAAGTTCTGATACTTCATTAGGGCTTTAAAGGCTTTTGGTCTATTTAACCTCCATTCCTAGTTGAAGGGGATAAATATGTAATACGCCAATATGCAGTGGAAATTGGGAAGAATTTTAAGTAATTTAGAGTACTGATGATGAAGCTGATGGAGTGGCTCAAGTGGAGCACCTGTCTAGCAAGCATGAGGCCCTGAATTCAAATTTTCTACCACTAAAAAATAGAATGTTTAAATATAAATTGTTGAGGTGATGAACATGCTAATTAGATGAACTGAATCTCTGAAAAGTACACATAGATCCGAACATCACACTGTGCCCATAAAACACAATTGCTATCAATTAAATATTTTAAAATTCCAATAGAGTAAAACGCAGCAAATACTACCCTATCCCTACACTTGTGCTAAATTTTTTCACCACTAACGGTACTTCACAGAGTTAGTAGTTCCATAGTTCATAGTTTTTGTTTTGGTGAAAATTTGTATGAACATTCAAAACCCAAGGCAATGATGGGATGTCTCCTCTGAATCTCAGCCAATAGACCGCTCCAGCCATTGGCTTATTCACTGATTGGATTATCCTTGGGTGGTTCATCCATGGATTGGATTACCTGCTCAAAAGATTATCTGTTCTCTTCCTGTATAAAAGGAGAACCAGTGGGGAAGTCACCACATTTCCCAGGGAGCCTCAGCCTGTCTGCAACTCAGCCGTGAAGCTGGCAGGACAAACTCCACAGCCATGGTGGAGCCTGCAACCAACGCCTTCCCAAGCCAACCTGTTCTGGTGAGTACACATCCCCAGTTCCTCTACTTTTCCTTCAGTTTAAACCTCTTCTGGTTAGCACACAGCTGTCCTTAAAACAAGACGGCATCTTAGGGATAGCTGTTTCTTAGCTGATGAGTAATGGGAGGAAAATTTAAGATGTAGTCATTCAATGTTTAGTGGTGAGGGATGTCATGAGCTATACGCTGTCACGTGATACGTCCTTGTGTAAAGGTCACTCGCACAGGGAGTCAGGAAGACTTAACCTGAAACATTTTGTTGTTAGCACATTCAATTTTATTCAAATTCATTTTTTAAATTGAAGATTAAGCTCTAACAAATCTTGTTACTGTTTAGGTTTATCAAGAATTTCCACAACTTGAGAAGCTAATCATAAAAATTTCACTATAAAGTTCTGACAATAGAGAAAGAAATCTTTTCTTTTGGTGGTATTGGGGTTTGAACTTAGGTTTGAGCTTGCTAGCGGGTTCTCTATACTTAAATCATGCCCCAAATACCTTTTTGATTTGGTTATTTTTTGAGCTAGAGTCTCAAATTTTTCCAGGGTCACTTTGGACCTTGATCGTGCTATTTACACATGCTGAGTACCAGGGATGACAGTTTTTTGCTTCCTTACCCAGCCTCTTTTATTGGTTGAGATACAGTCTCTGGAACTTACTGCCCAGATTGATCTCTGTTTTTGATCTTCCTGATCTCTGCCTACTGAGTAGATAGGATCAGAGACTTCAGCCACAAGGCCTGGCCTAAAAAAAAAAATCTTAATCACGTCGTACTGATCTCCAGATGGGAAGGCAGATGCCACAAGGCACCCAGTGTGGCCATGGTTAATAGTGTAAGCTTTTTTTAAATTGTTTTGTTTAATCTTATGGGCGGTGGAGTGGCTCATATTGTAGAGCGCCTTCCTAGCAAGCATGAGCCTTGAGTTTAAACCCCAGCATTGCCAAAACAATAAAAAATAAAAACCTAACATGGACTTTGGACCAGACAATGCTAACACAAAAAATCCTGCTGAATATAGAAATCTTGTTTCATTCTATAATACTTAAAAAAACTTCTGCTCCACAAATGTCTACCTTACTTAATGTCAGCATTCAGCCCTTTTTATTTTTTGCTTATTTGGTCTGTGTAATCTCTGAAATCTCTCTCATCTGTATTTACTTGTTTAGGCAATGTGGAGTTCATTAGATCTGTAGGTAAACTTAGATGGTGCACATCAATCTGTCATGTGAAAACTGGGATCCCTGGATCTCAATTACGGAGGGTCAGGTAATGACAGGAAGAGAAGAAAACATAGCTCCCAAGGAGATGGAGAGAAAGAGTCTGCACTTGGCTCTATTATATAAGTTGACCTTTCTATCGTTGAAAATTTCACCTGCTATGTGATGTCCCAACATCCTTGGAGGTATGGAGCTGGAATCTGCAGCAACACAAGGAACCAGGAAAATGAAGATTCTGTGACCCCACACCAGTCATATGTGGGTTCCAGAAATCTGAGTGTTAACAAACTTTCCAGACAACTGTGATACCCAGCATGATTTGTGAAACTCTTTGAGGGGACGGGAGGGTGGAAACTCCCAATGAACTAAGAAAGTTCTCCATAACTGGGTAGACTCGTTTTATTAAAATGTCACTTATATTTTTCTTTCAAAGGGGAGGCTGAAGAGAAATATGATACCTGAGGCTTTGGAAAGGAAGAAAAGAGTCCCCGTGGCCAAGGGCAGGCACAGAGCTGGAGGAGGGGCCGCACTGCCTGTGAGGATGACCAGCTGCATCTTCAAGAGGCCAGTGACAAGAATCACTGCCCACCCTGGCAACGAGGTCAGGCACAGACATGGGGAGGAGAACTTGGAGAAGCCCCAGCAGCTCTGTGCACTGAGGAGACTGCAGGGCCTCCAGGTGCACAGCAGTGAAGGACAGCTTTTAACTGCACTAGACTTTGAAAGTGCCTCAAAGATTATTTCCTTGGGAATTCAGGGTAAATCCCCGGGCCAAGCTGGTGCTGAGGATCTGCGGACTTGCCCAGAGCCCAGCCCTGGCCAGGTTCCATATCAGAGAGAGACAATCCCAGGAGGTCTTCCTCCATCTTTCTACCACCAAGAGGTGACATCTGCAGACATCCGAAGACAGATGAGGAAGGTGAAGCAAGCCAGGAAGAGGCTGGCTGAGGCTGTGAAGGCAGACAGCCTGGCCAGAGAGGCAGAGAGAAGGAACAGCCAAGATGAGTGGTCCTAAAACCAGATGCAAACCAGGAGATGGTCCTGAAGAGAGGTCACCAGGAGGGATCTTTCTATTTTACTTGTCTGTCTTTTAATTTCAATCCTGTCCTCAGCCATGATCTTGTTACACCCCACCTGTTCTTTATTAAATTGTCTTTGAAAAGCAAAAAGTTTTGAAGAGTGGATGGTTGTGTGGGATTATGTTTCATGTGGGGAAGAAGGATTTCCTTGGTGGTAATTTTTATGTGTGCATGTATGTGTGTATGTACGTGTGTATGTGTGTATGCATGTATATATTTATTTTATTGTTGTGCTGGGAATACATTGTGCCATTTATAAAATTTTCTACAATATGTCAAACATATCATACTTGGATTCACCCTCCTTACTGGTAATTGTTCAATTGTAGTTTATTATTACTTTTACTCATTTGTATTAAAATCTCCAGGGAGTGATTTACCCTGAGGGACTACTTACTGTTTTCCACTTAAATATTCTTCTCATAGTACTTACATTTGAAGGTAGAGATTCTTCGAAAGTAATGGTAATTTAATTTCATGAAGACAGTTAAGGTTGTTTCTACAACTAGTTTTATTTTCTATACTTATATTAATTTTAATTGTGTAGCGTAACCCAGGGCTTGTGCACAGGAGGCAAGTGCTCTACCACTGAGTTACATTCCCAGCCCCAACATCTTATTTTAATGTAAATTCCCCCTTTTTTTTCTTTTTATGCCATGGGACCTTTTCATGTGAAAATTACATGATGGATTTGATAGTATTAGCTCCTTATCAGTTATGTAATTATTATCTCATTGAATTTTTAATAGATTTGACTGTAGAGTGGAAACAATGAATGCACTCTGTGAGCATTTTCACTGACACACCTTGGCAGTAGGACCACTGGATGAATTCCCACAGTAGACCCTGAGTGAGGGCTTTTTGTCTGCCTTCTAGTCATAGAGTGATTGTTCAATAAATGAGATGAACCAGACCTTGCAACAGTGTCATATCATAGAAGGATTAGAGAAAGTCTCACTACTCTATGAGTAGTAAGGAAAAGCCATTATGTAGGTGTGATGGCACATCTTGATTGTCACCTTGATGAGATTAAGAGATTCCAGGTTTAACGAAGGGGACACTGGGTGTGACAGTGAGCACAGCTCCAGAGCTGATGAGATCATGAGGGCCCTGACCTAATGGTCTAATCCATTGGATTCATACTGTACAGAGACTCTTAGGAGGCATGGAATCTGGGGAGAGTTGGAGGAAGTGGGTCCCTGGTAGATGACTTTGAAGTGTGTATGGTGGTCCTGGCCTCTCCTGTTACTCTCTTGGCTACCCATCCACCAACAGGTGAGTAGCTTTGCTCCACTGAACCTCCACATGCCCTCTATGTCAGGATGCTCTGCCACACCAGAGCCCAGAAACAAAGGACTCTAGCCGCTCAACCCATGAGTCAAAAGAAATCTTTCCTCCTGTAAACTGACATTTCTCAGATATTTTTCACAGTGTCAAAAACTTTTAGCACCTTAGTTTTGGAAGAATCCAGCATTTTCCGGACTTCTCTGAAGAACTTTGGGCAGAGTGGTTGAGTTGTGGTAGGGAGAGGCCCTGGCTACAGAGGGTGAAGAGCGAGTGAGAGACGGATAACCCTGTCTTGATCATCCTCATCTTTGGCTCTACCCTGATGAATAGTCCCCTCCCAGTCCTGAGGCATTTAGTGCAGGTGTTAGCCCCACCTAATTCCGCAGTGGGAGGAAATATGAATATTCTACATCCCCGTTAGTCTGCACCCCGCAGAAGGATTTCCTCAGGGTGTTTCCTTCCAGACTTGGAATCCCGGGGGTGTAGTTGAGGGAGGGCACCGTGTGGGAGTGGCTGCAAGGCTATGTGACCACCTGGGATGAAAGAACAGAATAGGCAGGCATAGGAAATGGTTATTACAAGGGCTGCCCTGTAGTTTCTGCTGGGTATTGAGGGGGGGAGCGGGAGGGGGCGGAGTGGGTGGTAAGGGAGGGGGTGGGGGCAGGGGGGAGAAATGAACCAAGCCTTGTATGCACATATGAATAATAAAAGAAAAATGAAAAAAAAATAAAAAAAAAGGGCTGCCCTGCTCCTCCTTTGTAAAAAAAAAAAAAGTGTATGTGCCCAGATGTGATACACTCAAGTTGAGTGAGCTAAGTACTCACTCTATGATTTCTTTCTTCAATTCCTCTCTTGTACTGAAATATTGAATTGTGCCAGCCATGAGAGTACAGGCCTATAATCCTAGAACTTGGGAGGTAGAAAAAGCAGGAGTCTTGTGAGTTTGAGGCCAGGCTGGGCTACATGGGAAGACATTATCTCAAAAAAAAATAATAAAAAAAGAAAATATTGAATAGACTTTTCTCTCCTATGCATTTCAATAATTCCAGACTCATTTCCCAGATGGACTGAATGATTTTGGTGCATTATACTGCAAAGTGAAGGAGTTAGGGTTTGTGGTCATTGGAGACCTAGGAAATTTAAATGATGGAATTAGGCACGGCCCTGACCTTCAGGGCATCTTTTGATTAGCCAGCATGTAATTAGGATTTTTACACAAAGTTCTAAATTTTTATGGTTTGGGGGAGAATAAAAAGTCCCATAGTTTCCAGATACAGTGGCTCATATCTCTAATCCCAGCTACTTGGGAGATAGAAATTGGGAGGATTGAGGTCTTAAGCCAGCCTGGATTAAAAAAAAAAAAAAAGCATGATCCAATTTCTTTTTTTTTTTTTTTTGAGGTGGGGGGTGACTCTGTAGTGCCCTAAGGGCCCTGAGTGTGGATCAGACTCTTTACCAGGCTGGGGAGGGCTTATGGAGAGGTTGAGTCAAGGGTCACTTCTCTGGCATGTAGCTGGATCCCCAGGGAGCATGATCCAATTTCAACAAAACAATCTGGGCATGGTGGCTGATGCCTGCTATCCCAGCTCTGCAGAGGCCCTTGGTAGGAAGACGGAGTAAAAACTCACAATCATAATTGAAAAATAACTGAAGCAAAAATGGCTGGGAGTGTGTGGCTCAATTGATGGAGCACCTGCCCAGCAAGAGCAAGCGCCCAAGTTCAAACCCCAGTACTGCAAAAAAAAAAAATGATTCAGTTCATATTCAGTTTCTGTTGAGAGCACTGTTTAATGATGCTCTATCAAGCCTTATTTTGTGACAGCGGAATGAGAGGTACTTTTCTGGGGATCTATTTGATACTTTTATTGCAGAACATTGTGGGTTGTCTGTTGAGACTCGCGTGGTCAGCTATGACTGGGGCTGCTTATTGGAATTCCCATTGTGTTAGTTTGCCACTGCTGTAATAGAATACACAAGCTAATCAGCTTCTAAAGGAAAGGTGTGTTTTGGCTGACGGTTTTGGAGGTTCTAGTCCATGGTCCACTGATCTTGTTGCTTTGGGCCTTTGGCAAGGTGGCACATGATGGCAGAGCAAAATCATTCACATCATAGTCAGGAAACAAAAGGAAGAGGACAGGGCTGGTTTCTACATCCCCTTTGTGGACATGTCCACAAGCCCCACCCCCCCAAAAGCTCTACCTCAATAGCACCACCCTGGGACCATGCCTTCAACATACGGGTCTTTGAGGACATTCTAGACCCAAACCACAGCAATCATCACCTCTCATTTGGGGAGGATGGAGGTCCTGCTGATCAGATCCCATCTTTTTTGTTTGGGGCCGATAGTTACTGAAGAGGAAGATAGCCTTGAAACAGGGTTGTAAAACATGGTAAACTGTCAATTAAAAGCTGTAACCTTGGACAGAGCTGTGAGGAATTGCCCATTGCATGCAAAAGTTTGGGACCAAGATGAAAGGCACCATGCAGAGATAAGCACCCATTCCTGCCTTCCTTTGTCTCCACTTGTAAATAAACTTTAAAAGCAGGCCTCCCCTGCTATTCTTATCTAAACCTTAGGTCTCTAACCCACTACTAGCCCTACTTTATGGGAGAGCACATTCCTTGTAACCTGATACCCTGCATTGCCTTTTAAATATCCTGTGAATCCTTTGTTCGGGGCTCAGACACAGGTACACGTCTGGGCCCGCTAGCGTAAAATTAAAATCTGAGTTCTCCGCTCCTCCGAGTGTCGCTTGGTTTCTCCTCTGACTATATTGCCACAACATTACTATCCCAGGTCCTGTTGCCTCTGGTTTTGGAGCGGCCTGGTGGTTCCTTATTAAGACTTCTGTGAGCACTATTGCGGGGTGTGTCATTTTCTGGTGCTCCCGTAATGTGTAGTTCTGTGAGGTAGACTCCGACGTCTCTTGAAGTGCCTTCGGTCATTTTTAGTTTTGGGGAAGTTCAGTTCAGTATATTTTCAAGAGCAATTTATTTTGGAAAGGTTTGCACATACACGAAAGTTATAAAACAACACAGGGTCATCTTTTACAGTTCACATTCATGTATATTTAGTTGCATTTTATGTTTCCTGTTGACCTTAATTCTTGGACTTATGTGCAGTCCTCCCTTGGTATCCGCGGGGGATAGGATACAGGATTCATCCAAGGATACCAAATCCGTGAATGCTCAGGGCCCGTATGTAAAATCTCCTATCAATTGCATTGACCCTGCACCCGCTCCCATGTACTTTACACTGTCTTCAGATTATTTACACCTAATATGTAAATAGCTGTGTGAACTCCATTTTAGGGAAAACGACTATAAAAAAGTCCAGATGTTCAGTACAGATGTAAATTTTTTCCACTTAGTTCCAATCTGCAGTTGGTTGCAGCTGTGGATATGGAACTCAGGACCACAAAGAACTTACTGTGTCTCTGCGTGGACTCATTCTCCTTCAGTCTGAAGAAATTTCTCTAGTGTTTCTTGAAGTGCATGTAGACTGTTCATTCTTTCAGCTGAAAAAAAAGAGTCCCAATGGAAACATTTTTGACAAATACTCTCTTAAGTTGCAAAATTTTAGATTGGCATGTATTGTCTTCTTGCTTCTATAGTTTCTTTTGAAAAAATCATCATTAGTCATTGTGTG